ACGTATCTCTGGGAGCGACCCGGTTCTGTTAGCCCGGGTTCTGCACGTATCTCTGGGAGCGACCCGGTTCTGTTAGCCCGGGTTCTGCCGTATCTCTGGGAGCGACCCGGTTCTGTTAGCCCGGGTTCTGCCGTATCTCTGGGAGCGACCCGGTTCTGTTAGCCCGGTTCTGCCGTATCTCTGGGAGCGACCCGGTTCTGTTAGCCCGGGTTCTGCCGTATCTCTGGGAGCGACCCGGTTCCGTTAGCCCGGGTTCTGCCGTATCTCTGGGAGCGACCCGGTTCTGTTAGCCCGGGTTCTGCTCGTATCTCTGGGAGCGACCCGGTTCCGTTAGCCCGGGTTCTGCTGTATCTCTGGGAGCGACCCGGTTCTGTTAGCCCGGGTTCTGCTGTATCTCTGGGAGCGACCCGGTTCTGTTAGCCCGGGTTCTGCACCTATCTCTGGGAGCGACCCGGTTCTGTTAGCCCGGGTTCTGCTGTATCTCTGGGAGCGACCCGGTTCTGTTAGCCCTTGCTGTATCTCTGGGAGCGACCCGGTTCTGTTAGACCCGGTTCTGCTGTATCTCTGGGAGCGACCCGGTTCCGTTAGCCCGGGTTCTGCTCGTATCTCTGGGAGCGACCCGGTTCCGTTAGCCTGGGTTCTGCACGTTTCTCTGGGAGCGACCCGGTTCCGTTAGCCTGGGTTCTGCTGTATCTCTGGGAGCGACCCGGTTCCGTTAGCCTGGGTTCTGCACGTTTCTCTGGGAGCGACCCGGTTCTGTTAGCCCGGGTTCTGCTGTATCTCTGGGAGCGACCCGGTTCTGTTAGCCCGGTTCTGCTGTATCTCTGGGAGCGACCCGGTTCTGTTAGCCCGGGTTCTGCACGTATCTCTGGGAGCGACCCGGTTCTGTTAGCCCTTGCTGTATCTCTGGGAGCGACCCGGTTCTGTTAGCCCGGGTTCTGCTGTATCTCTGGGAGCGACCCGGTTCTGTTAGCCCGGGTTCTGCTGTATCTCTGGGAGCGACCCGGTTCTGTTAGCCCTTGCTGTATCTCTGGGAGCGACCCGGTTCTGTTAGCCCGGGTTCTGCTGTATCTCTGGGAGCGACCCGGTTCTGTTAGCCCGGGTTCTGCACGTATCTCTGGGAGCGACCCGGTTCTGTTAGCCCGGGTTCTGCCGTATCTCTGGGAGCGACCCGGTTCTGTTAGCCCGGTTCTGCTGTATCTCTGGGAGCGACCCGGTTCTGTTAGCCCGGGTTCTGCCGTATCTCTGGGAGCGACCCGGTTCCGTTAGCCCGGGTTCTGCCGTATCTCTGGGAGCGACCCGGTTCTGTTAGCCCGGGTTCTGCTCGTATCTCTGGGAGCGACCCGGTTCCGTTAGCCCGGGTTCTGCTCGTATCTCTGGGAGCGACCCGGTTCCGTTAGCCCGGGTTCTGCTGTATCTCTGGGAGCGACCCGGTTCTGTTAGCCCGGGTTCTGCCGTATCTCTGGGAGCGACCCGGTTCTGTTAGCCCGGGTTCTGCTCGTATCTCTGGGAGCGACCCGGTTCCGTTAGCCCGGGTTCTGCTCGTATCTCTGGGAGCGACCCGGTTCCGTTAGCCCGGGTTCTGCTCGTATCTCTGGGAGCGACCCGGTTCTGTTAGCCCGGGTTCTGCTGTATCTCTGGGAGCGACCCGGTTCTGTTAGCCCGGGTTCTGCACCTATCTCTGTTAGCCCTTGCTGTATCTCTGGGAGCGACCCGGTTCTGTTAGACCCGGTTCTGCTGTATCTCTGGGAGCGACCCGGTTCCGTTAGCCCGGGTTCTGCTCGTATCTCTGGGAGCGACCCGGTTCCGTTAGCCCGGGTTCTGCTGTATCTCTGGGAGCGACCCGGTTCTGTTAGACCCGGTTCTGCTCATCCCATTTTTTCTTAGAGATCAAAGACTGTTTTAAAGGCTTGGCTGAGTTTTCTAACGATGCTGCCCTCTGTGGCCAAAACGTGGAACTGCAGCTCGGGCTGTTTTCAGTGTCTGAGTGAAGCTGGATGGAAGGACCAGAACCTGGACCTTTATGATGTCACAGCCGCGGAACAGCGCGGGAACTTACGGCTGGGATGAACTGATGGGGTGTCGGTCTGCTCACCACAACAAGAAAAGGAACATGGGCGGTTCTAGACGGGGGCCAATGGGGGCCAGTGCCCCTGCAGATCATTTCCTGGCCCCTCTTATGGCCCCTGAACTGAAGACATAAAACTAAGAGAAATTCTAATGATGATCTGCACTGGAACAGACATGGTTACTGATGGATCCAAACGACCTATTTCACTTTTTTTCTTCAAAAATTCTGTTTAATAATTATTTAAAAACAAAAAGGTGATAGCTTCAGTGGTACTGAGATAGGATCCCAGTTTTCAAAACAAGTAAAAAACAAATACTCAATTTTTTACAGCTGAATTTATTAGTTTTCATGAGTTCTTATTCAGATTTGATAGAAAATGGTAACTTTAAAAATATGTAAAATTCCTAAATTATGAATGTACATTTACCTGACGAGACATAGAATTTTAATTAAACCTAATTGAAAAGAAATTTCCCTTCATGCAGATCTCTTAATATATTTGAATCCCTTGTCCTGTTTATTATTTCATGCTTTTTTGGGCCCCCATGAAAACATGCTGGCCGCCGAGTCTAGAACCGCCACTGAATAACGTATGTCTGTTCTATTAACATTTCTCTATCTGTAGAATGGGTCTGTTTTATGTGTCCCAATTCAGAGGGCCCCCTACCTGTCCTTGCCTAGGGCCCCTTATTTCCTATATCCGCCCCTGGCTCATCAAACCATGTTTTAGTCTTAAATGGCTAAAAATAGGATATTTTAAACTGATTTTTGATTAAAAACTTCAAAAAACGTTTCTTCAAATGTGATTATCGATTAGTCTGCAGAAGCACGTGTCTTCATCTGGTTCGTGTCAGGCTTACCTGTCCGCAGGTGAGTTGGAAGACCTCCGCTTCCTTCAGTCAGGAGTCAGCAACAAACAGGGAGCAGAGAGCGCCCCCTGCTGGAGGACTCCAGCTTAACGCAGGAGAACCAACAGCTGCTAATCAAACAGCTGAGCGCTAATAGGGAACACCTGCCGCGCTGCGCCCAAAGGCTCATGGGAAATGTAGTGCATTTATAACAGCCAGAGCTTTCAGGGTCAGAAATCAGTTTAAACAAACTATTAACAGTTTTTATCCAAATGTTCATTCAGACCCACAGCGCTGCAGAGCGACGCGTTTCCCAGCTTCCAGCTTCGGACAGAATGAATGGGAGTCTATGGCAGCTATGAGAAGGAAATAAGCCACGCCCACCAAACCTGGCCTGATGATGGAAGCCATGCATGCCAGATTAGAGTCCATGCCTGCTGTAGTTTGGGAGTTATTTTGAGTACCCATTTGTTTAGCATTGTTCTCAGGAACATGCTGTCTCCACCAAACCTTCACGCTACCTGCCCCCCCCCCCCCAGCATCTCTGTGCAGAGTTCGGACCCTCTGACATTAATGCTTTTCCGGCTATTTTGAGTTCCCAGAATGCCCTGACTGGTTATAACCCTAACCTAACCCTAACTTAACCCTCTAATCTCTAATCCTAACCCCCAGGCTAACCCCTGACCATCTAACCCTTGATGTGGACTTAAACTCTAACATGTTTATCATTTTCCAGCTCAGGAATTTAGAAACTTTCATCTTATTCAAGCTGAGCTGCAGCTAAAGTTCGGTCCAGTTTGATCTTTCTAATCAGAACTCCAGAACCAGTAACCCCAGATGAACCAGTGACCCCCATAGGAACCAGTGACCCCAGATGGACGTTGTCTGAATGTGCTTCACTATCTGGGAATCGGTTTTATTTATCATTATTAAATTCATGTGGGAAAACATTTTATTTCTTCCTTTGGATGAAAAATGAAACGTTTCCAAAATGGCTGCAGCGCTTCGATCCAGAGGGTCCCTACAGTTTAGCTCCGCCTCCTCCAGATTGGAAGATCTGAAGATGTCTCGGGACCGGAGCCGGTCCTCACAGAGACAGGAGAAGAATGAAGACAGGACAGAGGAAGGAGGTGCCATTGTTTATTTCAGCCGGAGGAGAACCAGGCGGGTCAGACGGAGAACTCAAGCAGAACTTAAATATCAGGTTGATCCAAACTAAAGCGGCAGCCATGCAGAGTCCACAGCGTATTTACAGCAGCAGGTTAGTAAAGGTTAGCATCGGTTGCTTCTGTTCACCCAAAGGCACACCGTCCCGTCTGGCCCTCGTTCACTAAACCAACCACCTGGTGGAGGTTCTGTTCAAACCCAGAACATTCCCGCTGGGAAGCAGAAGCAACAAGGCCTGGAAGCACTGAGTGATCCCAATCCCGATTTCTACAAACACAATCAGTCTGAGAAGTTCTGGAAGATCCGGACGGATCAGGAAGTGAAGCAGGAAGCAGCCCGCTGCTCAACATTTCAATCATCCGGGAGGTCCAACCATCTGCTGGGTTTGGACTTTGACTAGGCCACAGCCACATGGAGGAGCAGGAGGACCACAACATGGAGGAATCTGGCCTGTAAGAGGAGGACCAAGGAGACCGAAAAAAAAAAAAAGTTAGCTGATTTTTAAATATTTCAGTTTAATATGAGAAAAAAGTCAGAATTCATTTCCCCTCATATTAAACTGAAATATTTAAAAATCAATTTTCTTTAATTTTTCTGTGGCCCTAATCCTCTAATCCTAATTCCTTCCTAAATGACTGAATCCATCCATGAACACGTTCTGCCAGCAGAGGGCGCTGCTTCCCTGTTAGCTCTATGAGGAGTTTTAATAACAGTCAGGTTAATATTTAAATAAAAACTGATTTTAAATGTTACAAAATATCTGAAAGGAAAACAAAGTGAAATTAACATGGAAAACAGAGACAATTAAATTATTTAAAATAAAAAAAGAATATTTAAAAGATAAAATACAGCAAAGAAAAGAACAATAAATATTGAAACATGTTAGTGAAGCTTTTTAGTTCCTTTTTTTTTAGAATTGACCTTTTTGTTTTTCTTTCTTTCGTTGTTTTTACCGTAAATGACTTAAATTAGATAATTAAAGTTGATTGTTTCTCTCCAAACAGGATCAAAGTGATTCAGCCCACGGCTCCCAGAGGGGAGGGGCTAAATAAGAGGCGGGGTTTGGGACAATAAAGCGATTTACATTTCACATTACATTTACAAACTGACAGTTTATCCTCCTGTTGTCGCCCTCCTGTCTTTAAAAGGCTTCCAGGTCCGACGGTCCGGTTCTACTGGAAGCAGGAACGGTTCTACATGTAGGTCCGGTTCAGAAGGTCCAGTCAGGGAGCCGATCAGGGAACCATCTCTGGTTTATTGCTAAGATCAGGACTTCAAATCCTGAGAGGTCTCTGCTGATTGGTCAGCCGCTCTCTCCTCTGATTGGCCGGTCAGGTCTGTGTCCTTCCTTCCTGCTGGTTCTCAGTAGTTCCTCCAGTCGATGGCGTCTGACCGATGACTGGTTGCTAGGTTACCGTCCATGCGGCCCGTCGGCCGGCAGCGTGCATAGTTTCCCACAGCTGTGGATTGTCCATCTTCTCCCTCGTCAGGAAAACATTCCGTTTCTACAACTTTGGAATCATCAGTCCGGTTCCAACTTGGTCGCAGCAGAAACATAAAAACACCCAATGATTGGTTAATGGTCCCTCCGCTCTGATTGGCTGGTCCCAAATGCATCATCAGGCCCCGCCCACCAGGGAGCAGGAAAGAGACTCTTAAAGGATGTCTGTGAAGGTAGAGATCAGAGCTGGGCCAGGACGCAACCTCCAAGGAACATTCTAACATTCCTGGAAGCTTAAAGGAACGTTCCAACATTCCTGGAACCTTGAAGGAACATTCCAACATTCCTGGAAGCTTAAAGGAACGTTCCAAAACTTAACGGAACATTCTAACATTCCTGGAAGCTTAAAGGAACGTTCCAATATTCCTGGAACCTTGAAGGAACATTCCAACATTCCTGGAACTTTAATGGAATGTTCCAACATTCCTGGAAGCTTGAAGGAATTTTTTTTTACATATTCCTGGAATTTTAAAGGAATGTTCCAACATTCCTGGAAGCTTAAAGGAATGTTCCAACATTCCTGGAACTTTAATGGAATGTTCCAACATTCCTGGAACTTTAATGGAATGTTCCAACATTCCTGGAAGCTTAATGGAATGTTCCAACATTCCTGGAAGCTTAATGGAATGTTCCAACATTCCTGGAAGCTTAATGGAATGTTCCAACATTCCTGGAAGCTTAATGGAATGTTCCAACATTCCTGGAAGCTTAAAGGAATGTTCCAACATTCCTGGAACTTTAACAGAATGTTCCAACATTCCTGGAATCTTGAAGGAAATTTTTTACACATTCCTGGAATTTTAAAGGAATGTTCCAACATTCCTGGAACTTTAATGGAATGTTCCAACATTCCTGGAACAAACTTAATGGAATGTTCCAACATTCCTGGAAGCTTAAAGGATCGTTCCAACATTCCTGGAACTTTGGAACTTTAATGGAATGTTCCAACATTCCTGGAAGCTTAAAGGAACGTTCCAACATTCCTGGAACTTTAACAGAATGTTCCAACATTCCTGGAAGCATAAAGGAACGTTCCAACATTCCTGGAACTTTAACAGAATGTTCCAACATTCCTGGAATTTTAAAGGAATGTTCCAACATTCCTGGAACTTTAATGGAATGTTCCAACATTCCTGGAACTTTAACAGAATGTTCCAACATTCCTGGAACTTTGAAGGAAATTTTTAACACATTCCTGGAATTTTAAAGGAATGTTCCAACATTCCTGGACGCTTAAAGGAACGTTCCAACATTCCTGGAACTTTAATGGAATGTTCCAACATTCCTGGAAGCTTAAAGCAATGTTCTAGAACCGTTCTAGGAAGGTTCCAGGTGTGTGACTCCACCATCAGAACCATAGAAGCTGAGTTTCTGGGTCAGACGTTGAGGTTCTGGGTCAGACGTTGAGGTTCTGGGTCAGACGTCGAGGTTCTGGGTCAGACGTTGAGGTTCTGGGTCAGACGTTGAGGTTGCGGGTCAGAACCTGCAGTTCTAGGTCAGACGTCGAGGTTCCGGGTCAGAAGCTGAGGTTCCGGGTCAGATGTTGAGGTTGTGGGTCAGAACCTGCGGTTCTCCGTCCAGCAGGCAGATTGCCGTCAGCGTTTCCCAGCTGTGATCTTCCAGAACCTCCTGCCGGTTCCACCAGAACAGATGAAATCATTGGCCAGCCAGATGATCCCAGACGGAGAGGTTCTGCTAGAACCGGACGGGACCGGCAGGTTCTTTACATTCAGGTCATGGAAGGTCTGATGTGTCGAAGCAGAGGGGGCTTTAAGGTTTTGGAGGTTTGGACCTCCTCCTCTCCATCTCTTCAGCAGAACTTCTTCATCTCCTCTAAATGGATCCAGAACCGCGCTGGGTTCTACCGTCGATGGAGGAGGGGGAGGAGGAAGGTCTTAAGGCTGGAGACTAAAGGAGATGAGCTCCTCGGGGCGGATTGGACCGGACCGGACCGCACCGCACCGGGCCGGGCTCAGTAGGAGGAGATGTCCGAGGAGCTGCTGCTGTTGCTGGTGGAGATCTGAGCCCGTTTGATGTAGAGGTTCAGCAGCTTCATCTGCAGGAAACACAACATCACAATCATCATCCTCGCTGCGGCCTTCCGGTCCGGCGGGTCGGAACCGGGCCTACCTTGCTGCCGGTCAGCTGGGACAGGTAAGGCTTGAGCTCCTCCCCGATGACGGCGTAGATGGCCACCAGGCAGAAGACGCTGGCCTTCCTCACGCTGCTCTCCGTGTTGTCGTAGCCCTGCAGCAGACCCGGGATGACGTCCGGCAGCAGCTGGTGGAGCGGCTCCCTGGAGACGCGCTCGATGGCGCGCGTCTGCATCTTGATGGCCGCCAGGTTGATGGGGTAGTCGGTGGTCTGGACGATGGGACAGAGGACCTTGATGCACTGCTCCGGGTAGATGGAGCCGGCCAGCGTGGACGCCGCCTCCTCGGCCGCCCGCACCACCTGAGGACGACAGGGAGAGGATGAGGAGCTGCCGGCGCCGGAGGAGCGGCTCCCGGATGATCCGGCACCTCCTTGTGGGAATCCTTGTGAGCCTCCAGCGTCTTCATGATGGTCAGCTCGGCGTAGTTCTTGAAGCGGGCCGGCTGGTTCCGCAGGATCTCCCTGAGGACGCGTAGGGCCAGCGCGCGGACCGAGTGCTGCGGGAGAAGACAGACGTCAGCGGGTGTTGGACGCGGCGGCCCTCAGAGACAGACGGCGCCTTACGTCTTTGTCGCCCAGCGTCTCCAGCAGCAGCAGCAGCATGCTCTTGAAGTGCTCCTCCCACACCACCAGGCTGTCCTCGCGCGCCGCCTTCAGCAGCTCCAGCAGCGTCCCCCGTCTGTCCTCGGGGCCCTGCTCCCCGGCGCCGCCCTGGGACAGCTCCTTCAGCAGCTCCCCCACCAGCTCCAGCTGCTCGGCGGGCGCCGCTGCGGGTCACAAACAACCGGTTAGCCTGAAGCTCCGCAGCCGGAGGCGGATAAACTCTGGGTTTGGGTCCGTTACCAGGGAAACCTTTGGCATTCAGCGCCTTGTTTTCTCCGCAGTCCTGCCGCCGGCCTGCAGAGGGAGCCACAGTTAGAGACCCGAGCAGAACCCAGTCAGCCGTCGGCAACGGAAGCGGCTCTTACCATCTCTCCCCGGGTCGGTGCCGTCCTCCGTGGCGGGGGGTTTATCCGGAGAGCTGTCTGTGTAGTTGTATGGGTTGTACTCCCGGAACCGTGGCCCGGAAAAGGAGCGCGGCGACGGGGTGTTGAGCAGCGACGTCTTGTTGTCCAGAGCCGTTCTGCCGCCCTCTGCCGGGTCGCCGCAGAACGCCGCCACGCCGGTCTGAGAGGAGAACAGGAATGAGCCTAGAACCGGGTCTAGCGTAGAAGCTAACGGAACCAGCTGACCATGAAGTCCCGCTTCCCGTCCCGCCTGGGCGGCTCCGCCGGGTCCTCCTGGCTGCGGAAGCTGAAGCTCTGGATGGCCTCGGTCACGCCGCGCAGCGAGCTGTAGATCTCCTCAGAGTTGAGGTTCTCGCTGTCGAACTCCAAGGCGCTGGAAGAGAGGAGAGAGGCTGAGGCGGTGGTTCTAAGACCCGGAGGCGACGCGTCCCGGTTCTGCTGGCTTTACGCCGCGGTACGACTAGGATGGCATGTGGATGAGGTCACAGACAGCGGGGACACGGACGGGCGAGGCGATGGGGGGGTGAGGGGTTACCTGGGAGAGTAAGCTCGCCGTACGGCCCTGAGGGCGGCGGGGGGAGGGAGGGGGGAGGGGAAGGGAGGAAGAGGAGGGTATTTGGAGAGGCCGTCGGCGCTCCAGCCCCACAGCCGGCTGCAGGGGGAGGAGGGAGGGGGGGAGAGAACCGGAACAGTCAGAACCTTCAGTCCTGAAGGGAGAGTGGACCCGATCCGGGCGTTCCGGCTGCTCCTACCTGGGGGAGAGGCCGTGGTTGGTGGGGGAGTCCATGGGGCTGCTGCGGCCCGGATGGCGAGGAGGCGTCCGACCCGCCGGCTGGACCGGAGCCGCCTGGATGTGGAGAAACAGCCGGTTAGAATCGCTCCCCGCCGTCTGACCATTCCCCCCCTTGCAGACATGGTTACCATGGCGACGCTGGCGCTCCTCAGGTGGTGGTGCAGCAGCTTGGTGGTCCCGTCCTGGAAGGTTTTGGGCAGCGCTCCCAGCAGCATGGTGAACTCCGGGGTGTTGAGCTCAAACAGGGCGATCAGAACCACCTGGGCCGCCTGCAGGACACAAAACACCGTTACTGGAAGCCTTCGCTCCATCCAGCCTCCACCAGGGGGCGCTGCCGACTGCTCCACCTGCAACACAAACATCTGCGGAAGGGTTAGAGCAGGCGGAGCCCTCAGCCATGCTTCTGGGTTAGAGGTTAGAGCTGCACTCGGATCTCTGGTTAGCTCCCGTCATGCCGTCCGACTGGATCTACCTGCTTGCACCTCTCCTCCAGGTTCCCCTCCCCGGGCAGAGAGGCCACGGCGCCGGTCCGACCCGAGAACTCCTCCCCTGCCCAGCTATGGAGGGTCTGAGGGTGGAGGTCAGGAAACACGGTGAAGGATGGAACGACCAGAGCAGGGAGGCGGGAGGAGGTCCGGGCTCTCCTACCTTACGCACGTCGGAGCTCTTGGGCTCGGTGGTCCAGGTGATGATGCGTGAGACCGCCAGACGGGTCTCGCTGGAGTTGACGAAGTCGGCCGGGTCCATCTGTCGGGCCAGAGCCTCGATGTAACGCAGGATGGCCACCTTGACCTTCAGGTTGGGGGTCTGGGTCTGGTCCACAATGAAACGCATCAGGATGTTGAACTGCTGCTCGAAGGGGAACGATTCTCTGCAGGAACACAGAGGAGAGGATGGATGCACCTCCACCAGCTCCATTACCTTCAAACCATTCCTTCCCACTGGAAACCAGAACCTTTACTGGAGGGAAGCTAAGCAGAGCAAAGGACAGATCCCAGTCTGTCCTCCAGTACAGATCCACACCTGGTTGTGGTGAATTTATTCTATATATGTGCAGAGTTACTGTTTGGCTCTAATCTGAGCTTGATTCACACTTTCATTTGTTGTTCTAACGCACAGCTAGTTGGACGTGGGTTAATAAACAATATATGAAAGTCCAAATATTGGATGTACAATTATTGCATCATATATTTGGCGTCCCTGGGTGGGCAGTGCCTTCACTACAGGATTTAGTTCAGATGCCTGCTGGATGCTTCTGCTTCAAAAACATAAATCTAATGCAGATATCAGCATCAAAACATACGTAAGGGTTTAAGCTAATTGGTTCCTTTCAAAATAAAAGCCCGTCTGATTTTGACTTTGAGAATAAAAGCCTCAGTCTCCGATTTGGTCAGATTCTGGATGTTCCCCGATGATGAAACTAGGGAAGAAATGTTGTGTTGGTTTTTCAAAATAAAGCTTTTCCCGGTCCAAATAGAAAAATGCTGCTCTCTGGTTCCTGACAAGCTCCGAGGACCAGAACCTATGATGAAAAACCTAATTGGGTCTGTGTCTTAAACAGAACCAGCTGCTCAACCACAGAACCTGTTTCAAACTCTGTCCTTCTGGAGGCCAGACAATCAGTGAAGGTGTTCTTCTTCAAAGAGCTAGGTATGGACCTGGCCTGACCTGGTGACATCCAGAGCCTTCTGGACCTTGGCTTGGACCGAGCCCAGCAAGTCTGCGCCCATCTTCTTCAGCAGCTGTGTGAGAAGCACGAAGAGCCAGTCCTGCAGATCGTCCCGGTGCAGGACGATGAAGTCCACCAGAGTCTCCAGGAACATGCTGAACACCTGAAACAGACCAAAGGCGGAGGAAGAGGACGGTGAGGGCCGGGGTTCTGCACAGAACCGGGTCCTGGGCGCTGAGGAAACACTTACTCTCTGGAGTTTGTTAGAGTCCCAGCAGGGAGGAAACATGCAACAGAAAACCTTCTGTTAGCGTCATGAAGGAACGTTAGGTGCTGCTTCCTGTCAGACATGCTGCCCTGAACATGCAGCCAAGATCAGGGGGAGACCTCACCTTACTGTGGGGGTCTGCAAACATCCTGGTGAAGATCTCACACAGCCTCTTCAGCTCCACGCGGCTGGAACAAAGCAGAGAAGAAGCTGAGTCTCTCCTCAGACCCGGGGGGGTCTGCCGTGGAGGATCCCGCCTACCTCAGCATCCTCTGGCTCTTCAGCAGGTTCTGCAGGCCCAGCAGACCCTCCTTCCTCTCAGACCAGTTGGAGCTGGCGCAGTGGTTCAGCACCTCGGCCACGTCCTCCGTCTGACGCAGGAAGTGGGGCCCCGCCCCGCCGTTCCTGGAGCTGAAGGAGCGCTCCGAGCAGGCGCTGGAGGCGTCGCTGTTGGCGTCGTCGTCCGAGTACATGCCGGGCGACTCGAAGCGCCGCCTCACGGGCCGCCGCTGAGACGGTGGACAGACATCAGCATGCTAGCTGCTCAGCAGGGTTAGTCTGCATGCAGAACACTGAAGATCTACTACCTTACTCCTGGAGTCTCCTAACAGCTGGAATTCACAGCAGAAAGGAGAAACCTCCATCAGAACCGGTCCTGCTCCCCCACCCTCACAAACCCCACAGGATGTTCTCCTACCAGAGCGTCGGCCACGGCCGCCTCCACCTCGGTGCCGGTGTTCAGGATCCTCATGGCGTTGACGGAGGCGGAGATCCGCGCCTGATGGGACAGCCGGTCTGAGGAGGAGACATTGCTTTAGACGAAGGACGCGGAGGACATGAGGTGATGATCCAGGTCCACGCCGAAGCGGCAAATCATAAAACCAGCAGCAATAAACCAAAATGGCGTCTGATATAAAAGATGCAACAGAAGAAGAAGCAGGACAGCAGCAGAGACATCTCTCTGCTGGTCTTTGCTGCAGGAGGGTTAGCCATGCAGGTGGAGCAGGTAAAAGAGCACCAACAGGTTCTATAGAAGTTCTTAGAAGCTCAGCGTTCACCTGAGCAGCCCTCTGCTGAGGACAGGGCGCCGGTGGAACGGGAATGAGGACGGCTCACTGGAGGAGGACATAGAACCACAGCTTAGTGGACAGAGAAGGTTCAGAGAGCCTTCAGAGGACATCAGATCAGAGGAGAACATGCATACGGGTGGCTGGTCTCTAATGGGCCGAGCGTTCCGGTACTCACCCAGGGGGGAGAAACCCCTGGAGGGGCTGGTGTCGCGGCTGCTCTCGCGACTCGTTTCCCGGCTGCAGCCCTGACTCATGCTGGGCCGAGGGATCCGGCTCCGGGCTGCAGAGTCCGGACCGGACCGAGGTGGACAGAGAGGACAGGAGAGCGGTCCATGCAGTGAGTTACACAGGCTGGGTTAGACGCCACAGGTGTTAGACAGGAGGAGGAGGAGGATGAGGATGAAGGCGGAGCTACAGCTTCAGTCTACTGCTCGGGGTCAGAGACATGAGGTGACGTGAGAGGAGGAAAAATGGCGACAAAAGGAAGCTTAATGAAAGCCAGGTGGAGTTCCTCGGTCCTCTGAGCCTGGGGTTCGTTTACAGCGATGGACACTAAGATGTTAACGGATGATTTTATTACAATTCTGATGATTATGAATAAAACACAAAATAATATGTTTACATCAAAATAGTTTTCTAAATTGGATGAGGAGGCTTGGAATATTTCACCTTTTGTGTCATGAATCTAAAAAATATCTCAAATAGGCAAAGAAATATGTAAAACATCACATTTTCTTACAATAAATTAAATCAAAGAAATATTGAAGATTATTAAAGAAGAAAGTCACAATATCGTCTAAAGAACTGGTTCTTCAGATTGAACTGGTTCATTAAATTGATTTGATTCTCTAGATTAAACTGGTTCTTTAGATTGAACTGGTTCTTTAGATTGAACTGGTTCTTTAGATTAAACTGGTTCTTTAGATTAAACTGGTTCTTTGCATTGAACTGGTTCTTTAGATTAAACTGGTTCTTTGCATTGAACTGGTTCTTTAGATTGAACTGGTTCTTTGCATTGAACTGGTTCTTTAGATTAAACTGGTTCTTTGCACTGAACTGGTTCTTTAGATTGAACTGGTTCTTCGCATTGAACTGGTTCATTAAATTGAACTGGTTCTTTAGATAGAACTGGCTCCATAGATTAAACTGGTTCTTTAGATTAAACTGGTTCTTTGCATTGAACTGGTTCTTTAGATTGAACTGGTTCTTTGCATTGAACTGGTTCTTTAGAATAAACTGGTTCTTTGCATTGAACTGGTTCTTTAGATTAAATTGGTTCTTTGCATTGAACTGGTTCTTTAGATTAAACTGGTTCTTTGCATTGAACTGGTTCTTTAGATTGAACTGGTTCTTTGCATTTAACTGGTTCTTTGCATTGAACTGGTTCTTTAGATTAAACTGGTTCTTTGCATTGAACTGGTTCTTTAGATTAAACCGGTTCTTTGCATTGAACTGGTTCTTTAGATTGAACTGGTTCTTTGCATTGAACTGGTTCTTTAGATTAAACTGGTTCTTTGCATTGAACTGTTTCTTTGCATTGAACTGGTTCTTTAGATTAAACTGGTTCTTTGCATTGAACTGGTTCTTTAGATTAAACTGGTTCTTTGCATTTAACTGGTTCTTTGCATTGAACTGGTTCTTTGCATTTAACTGGTTCTTTGCATTGAACTGGTTCTTTAGATTGAACTGGTTCTTTAGATTAAACTGGTTCTTTAGATTAAACTGGTTCTTTGCATTGAACTGGTTCTTTAGATTAAACTGGTTCTTTGCATTGAACTGGTTCTTTAGATTGAACTGGTTCTTTGCATTGAACTGGTTCTTTAGATTAAACTGGTTCTTTAGATTAAACTGGTTCTTTGCATTGAACTGGTTCTTTAGATTGAACTGGTTCTTTAGATTAAACTGGTTCTTTAGATTAAACTGGTTCTTTGCATTGAACTGGTTCTTTAGATTAAACTGGTTCTTTGCATTGAACTGGTTCTTTAGATTGAACTGGTTCTTTGCATTGAACTGGTTCTTTAGATTAAACTGGTTCTTTGCACTGAACTGGTTCTTTAGATTGAACTGGTTCTTCGCATTGAACTGGTTCATTAAATTGAACTGGTTCTTTAGATTGAACTGGTTCTTTAGATTAAACTGGTTCTTTAGATTAAACTGGTTCTTTGCATTGAACTGGTTCTTTAGATTGAACTGGTTCTTTGCATTGAACTGGTTCTTTAGAATAAACTGGTTCTTTGCATTGAACTGGTTCTTTAGATTAAACTGGTTCTTTGCATTGAACTGGTTCTTTAGATTAAACTGGTTCTTTGCATTGAACTGGTTCTTTAGATTGAACTGGTTCTTTGCATTTAACTGGTTCTTTGCATTGAACTGGTTCTTTAGATTAAACTGGTTCTTTGCATTGAACTGGTTCTTTAGATTAAACCGGTTCTTTGCATTGAACTGGTTCTTTAGATTGAACTGGTTCTTTGCATTGAACTGGTTCTTTAGATTAAACTGGTTCTTTGCATTGAACTGTTTCTTTGCATTGAACTGGTTCTTTAGATTAAACTGGTTCTTTGCATTGAACTGGTTCTTTAGATTAAACTGGTTCTTTGCATTTAACTGGTTCTTTGCATTGAACTGGTTCTTTGCATTTAACTGGTTCTTTGCATTGAACTGGTTCTTTAGATTAAACTGGTTCTTTGCATTGAACCGGTTCTTTAGATTAAACTGGTTCTTTGCATTGAACTGGTTCTTTAGATTGAACTGGTTCTTTGCATTTAACTGGTTCTTTGCATTGAACTGGTTCTTTCGATTAAACCGGTTCTTTGCATTGAACTGGTTCTTTAGATTGAACTGGTTCTTTGCATTGAACTGGTTCTTTAGATTAAACTGGTTCTTTGCATTGAACTGGTTCTTTAGATTAAACTGGTTCTTTGCATTGAACTGTTTCTTTGCATTGAACTGGTTCTTTAGATTAAACCGGTTCTTTGCATTGAACTGGTTCTTTAGATTGAACTGGTTCTTTGCATTGAACTGGTTCTTTAGATTAAACTGGTTCTTTGCATTGAACTGGTTCTTTAGATTAAACTGGTTCTTTGCATTGAACTGGTTCTTTAGATTAAACTGGTTCTTTGCATTGAACTGGTTCTTTAGAAGAAACTGGTTCTTCAGATTAAACTGGTTCTCTGCATTGAACTGGTTCTTTAGATTGAACTGGTTCTTTAGATTAAACTGGTTCTTTGCATTGAACTGGTTCTTTAGATTGAACTGGTTCTTTAGATTAAACTGGTTCTTTGCATTGAACTGGTTCTTTAGATTGAACTGGTTCTTCTCATTGAACTGGTTCTTTAGAAGAAACTGGTTCTTCAGATTAAACTGGTTCTCTGCATTGAACTGGTTCTTTAGATTGAACTGGTTCTTTGCATTGAACTGTTTCTTTGCATTGAACTGGTTCTTTAGATTAAACCGGTTCTTTGCATTGAACTGGTTCTTTAGATTGAACTGGTTCTTTGCATTGAACTGGTTCTTTAGATTAAACTGGTTCTTTGCATTGAACTGGTTCTTTAGATTAAACTGGTTCTTTGCATTGAACTGGTTCTTTAGATTAAACTGGTTCTTTGCATTGAACTGGTTCTTTAGAAGAAACTGGTTCTTCAGATTAAACTGGTTCTCTGCATTGAACTGGTTCTTTAGATTGAACTGGTTCTTTAGATTAAACTGGTTCTTTGCATTGAACTGGTTCTTTAGATTGAACTGGTTCTTCTCATTGAACTGGTTCTTTAGAAGAAACTGGTTCTTCAGATTAAACTGGTTCTCTGCATTGAACTGGTTCTTTAGATTGAACTGGTTCTTTAGATTAAACTGGTTCTTTATATTGAACTGGTTTCTTTGATTGAACTGGTTCATTAAATTGAACTGATTCATGAAATTGATTTGATTCTCTAGATTAAACTGGTTCTTTGCACTGAACTGGTTCTTTAGATTGAACTGGTTCTCTGCATTGAACAGGTTCTTTAGATTTAACTGGTCCTGTGATTCAACTGGTTCATTAAATTGATTTGATTCTTTAAATTGAACTGGTTCTTTGCGTTGAACTGGTTCTTTAAATCGAACTGGTTCTTTAGATTGAACTGGTTATTTAGATTAAACTGGTTCTTCAGATTGAACTGTTTCTCTGATTGAACTGGTTCTTTTGATTTAACTTATTCTGTAAATATTTCTCTAAATTCATTTTTGAGAACCAAAAAATATTTTAAATAAAAATAAAACAGATTTATATACCCTACCAAGTAAAAATAAACAAAAAAATAAAAATAAGATGTCTATTTTCTAAATAAAATTACAAAAGAAAACATTTAAAAATGTATATTTTTACCTCAAACCTAACTTTCCTGGATTTGAAATAAAGTCATCGTTGTGTCTTTAGTGTTAAATCCAGATCATCTAAAAGAGGACCCGGTTCTGGTTCTTACCGACTCCTGATCTGCTGGGACTCGTCTCTCGGCTGCAGCCCTGACTGCGGTGACCTCGAGGTCGGTTCTTCTCGCTCAGACTGCATGAGGCGCTGCTACTGCCGCCCCCCGTGGACGTCCTGACCATCCGGCCGTAGGTGGCGCTCAGCAGGCGGCCCGGAGAACCCGAGCGGCTGCCGGCTGAAACCAAGAAGCAAACGAGTCGACGTTAACTAACCCAAGTCTGACCTTCCATGTTCTGATGGAGAGACGGGGCGTCTTAACTCACGCTGCGACTGAGAGACGACTTTCCCCCGACTCCGCCCACGGCTGTCTGTCACAGTCAGACCGGTTCCGGAGCTCGTCCTCCTGGTTCTCACTCGGCCTGAGGAAGGAGATTTGAAGGAAACTAGACGGAATCATGAATGTGTGCCGGAGCAGAGCCGGTTCTTACCCAGTGAGGCGTAGGATCCCGGAGGAAGCGCTGAGGCGGCGCTGAAGGGAGACGGCACCGTGGAGGAGACGGCGGGCATCCTGGTGCGGGCGCAGGCGGCGGCGTTGACGTCCACGTCGCTGCGAGATCGCTGCAGAGACCCCGGAGAGGAGGCGGCCGCAGGTCTGCGGGAGGCGCCGGCTTTGGCTGAGGAGGACAGAGAAGTTTCCACCAAACGGTTTTTAATCCACAGAAACCAGTTCAGCCTGAATCTTCAGCCATCATGGAACCAACAATTGGACCTTTGAGTCCGATCCTAAAGAACCGCTGCAGAACCGAAGCTATTTCTGCTTTAAATACTCTACTTTTTTATTTGGATTTTCTTTAATGTGACAAAAAAATGCATGAAATAAACTAAATAAAAAATAAATATATAATAGATATATAAAGTAAGCAAGTCACAGAATAACACAAAAATACGTAAGAAATAACAAGAGCAATAAAAAAAACAGTTCATTAAATTTAACTGGTTCATTAAATTAAACTGGTTCTTTTGATTTAATTGCTTCAGTGATTGAACTGCTCCCGTGATTGAAATGGTTCATTAAATTGAACTGGTTCCGTGATTGAAATGGTTCATTAAATTGAACTGTTTCAATAAATTGAACTGGCTCTTTTGATTGAATTGTTTCTTTTGATTAAAATGGTTCTGTGATTCAACTAGTTCATTAATTGAACTGGTTCATTAAATTTAACTGGTACTTTTGATTGAACTGGTTCCTTGATTGAACTGGTTCATTAAATTTAACTGGTTCTATGATTGAACTGATTCTGCTGATCGAACTGGTTCTTTTTATTGAACTGATTCCGTAATTAAAATGGTTCTGTGATTGAACTAGTTCATTAAATTTAACTGGTTCATTAAATTAAACTGGTTCTTATGATTTAATTGCTTCAGTGATTGAAATGGTTCATTAAATTGAACTGGTTCTTTTGATTGAAATGGTTCATTAAATTGAACTGTTTAAATAAACTGAACTGGTTCATTAAATTGAAGTGGTTCTTTTGATTATATTAGTTCTTTTGAATGAACTGGATCTTTTCATTCAGAGAAAAGGTGTTCGTTCTTAGGGTTCTGGTCCATTATTAGCATGATAGCCACTTGTTAGCATGGTTTAAAATAGTAGCATTTTATAAGCATGTTAGCATTTCATCCTGTTGTTAGCATGTTATTAGAATGTTATCCTGTTATTAGAATGTCATTAGCTTGTTAGTGTGTTTATACAGTTTTGGTGTGTTAGTTGGTTATAGGCATGTTAGCCTTTTATTAGAATGTTATTTGCATGCTAGCAAGATGCTTGCAAGTTGTTAGCATGTATGTCCCTTTAAGCATGATAGCCAGTTGTTAGCATGCTTTCATGGATTAACATTGTATTCCCATGTTAGCTTTTTATAAGCAAGTTACCATATTATCCTGTTGTTAGCATGTTATCCTGTTATTAGCATGTGATTTCCTGTTAGCCTTTTAGCTTGTTATTAACATGTTAAACTATTAGCATGGTTTTTGCATGTTAGTCTATTATTAGCACGATATTAGCATGCTAGTATGTTTAAAAGGTTTTGGTGTGTTAGTCATTTATAAGCATGTCAGCCTTTTATTAGAATGTTATTAGCATGCAAGATGTTTCTGTGCTGTTAGCATGTTAGTCTGTTGTTAGCGCGTTACACCATAACTCATTAGCATGTTAGTCTGTTGTTAGCGCGTTACACCATATAAGCCCATTAGCATGTTGGTCTGTTGTTAGCACATTACACCATATAAGCCCATTAGCATGTTAGTCTGTTGTTAGCGCGTTACACCATATAAGCCCATTAGCATGTTAGTCTGTTAGCGCGTTACACCATATAAGCCCATTAGCATGTTGGTCTGTTGTTAGCACATTACACCATATAAGCCCATTAGCATGTTGGTCTGTTGTTAGCGGGTTACACCATATAAGCCCATTAGCATGTTAGTCTGTTAGCGCATTACACCATATAAGCCAATTAGCATGTTAGTCTGTTAGCGTGTTACACCATATAAGCCCATTAGCATGTTAGTCTGTTAGCGTATTATACCAAATAAGCCCATTAGCATGTTAGTTTGTTTGCGCATTACACCATATAAGCCCATTAGCATGTTAGTCTGTTGTTAGCGGGTTACACCATATAAGCCCATTAGCATGTTAGTCTGTTAGCGCATTACACCATATAAGGCCATTAGCATGTTAGTCTGTTAGCGTATTATACCAAATAAGCCCATTAGCATGTTAGTTTGTTTGCGCATTACACCATATAAGCCCATTAGCATGTTAGTCTGTTGTTAGCGCGTTACACCATATAAGCCCATTAGCATGTTAGTCTGTTGTTAGCGCGTGACACCATATAAGCCCATTAGCATGTTAGTCTGTTGTTAGCGCGTTACACCATATAAGCCCATTAGCATGTTGGTCTGTTGTTAGCGGGTTACACCATATAAGCCCATTAGCATGTTAGTCTTTTTGCGCATTACATCATATAAGCCCATTAGCATGTTAGTCTGTTAGCGTGTTACACCATATAAGCCCATTAGCATGTTAGTCTGTTAGCGTATTATACCAAATAAGCCCATTAGCATGTTAGTCTGTTTGCGCATTACACCATATAAGCCCATTAGCATGTTAGTCTGTTGTTAGCGCATTACACCATATAAGCCCATTAGCATGTTAGTCTGTTAGCGCATTACACCATATAAGCCTCTTAGCATGTTAGTCTGTTGTTAGTGGGTTACACCATATAAGGCCATTAGCATGTTAGTCTGTTAGCGCATTACACCATATAAGCCTCTTAGCATGTTAGTCTGTTGTTAGCGCATTACACCATATAAGCCCATTAGCATGTTAGTCTGTTAGCGCATTACACCATATAAGCCTCTTATTATGTTAGTCTGTTGTTAGTGGGTTACACCATATAAGGCCATTAGCATGTTAGTCTGTTAGCGCGTTACATCATATAAGCCCATTAGCATGTTACTGGCATGTTGGGAAGATGTTGCCGTGTTTTGCGGGTTTTTGCTTACATCGGCTGCTTCCTGCGGAGCTCTTCACAGACAGCGGCCGACTGTGGAAGAACCAGATTAAAGGGTCAGAACCTCTGAACAGAACCAGAACCAGAATCGGTGTTGGGGTCGACTCACTTCAGGCTCTCCTGGGATGAGGAGGAGGATCGATCGGAGGCGGGCAGAGACATCAGAGTGTCCCCGCTCCCTAGGTGGGCCTGCAGAGCTTTCTGATAGGCTGATTCCAGACCCTGGAACAGAAGCTCCGCCTCCCGGCTGAAGTGACCCTGGAAACCCCAGTAACACCTGAGAGGACAGAGAGTCGCCATCAGAGAGTGGCAGCTGGTTTGGAGCTGCAGAGTCTGGGAAAGGTGACCTACTTCCTGGCCACAGAGCGAGCCTCAGCGTCAGCGTCATGGATGCCCTTCTTGATGGTCTCTGCCAGCAGCGCTCCATGTCTGCGGGGAACAATAATCACAGCTACCTTCACAGTCTGGGGGGGGGGATTTTTCTTGTACTTCTCGTGTTTGGAGACGGATTCAGGAAAGGATCTGCAGGCTTCATTCTGTGATGCTTTGAGGAGACCGGTCCTGATCAGAACCCCCCCCCGACTAGCTACTCCAAACCACCACACCACCTCCACCGTGTTCTCTGGTTCTGACCCCATTTACTCTACCCTTGAAAAACCGATCCATGCCGAGACCAGTCCGAGCTCGGATCAGTTAACCAGGCCGAGCTCGGTTCTGACGAACGTTTACACATCACGCCATCTCGGTTCCTCGACTCCTCGCCTCCTAGTGACGATCTGCGGTATTACTGCCGGTATTGAAGGAGGAAATCAAGCAGTTGGTGGCGGTAATGCACCAAAAGTTGTTTGCCAACCGCCATAAAACACAAGAAGAAGAAGGAGGGAATCAAGCAAATCAAAATGGCGGCGCCCGGCATTACCGCCACCTACTGGAATGGAGTGTGAATCGCGATGTGCAGCCAGACAGAGATGATGCGTTCTGCTCATGCGCTCTTTTTATCAGAGAACTGAGCCAGGGAGAAACCGAGCCGAGCCCACCTCTGGAACTGGTCTGCGGTTAGCTCGGTCCGGTTGTGTCTAGCTCGGTCCGGTTGGGTCTAGCTCGGTCCGGTTGTGTCTAGCTCGGTCCGGTTGTGTCTAGCTCGGTCCGGTTGTGTCTAGCTCGGTCCGGTTGGGTCTAGCTCGGTCCGGTTGGGTCTAGCTCGGTCCGGTTGTGTCTAGCTCGGTCCGGTTGGGTCTAGCTCGGTCCGGTTGGGTCTAGCTCGGTCCGGTTGTGTCTAGCCGGTCCGTTGGGTTACTCGGTCCGGTTGGTCTAGCTCGCCCGGTTGTTTGCTTTCCTTTTCACCGGTCCGGGTTTATGAGCTCGCCCGGGTTTGGCACGGTTTTTTCAGTGTGAAAAGGGTAGCCCGGGGGTCTAGTTCGGGTTTTTTCTGTTGGGGGGCTAGCGGGGGTTTCGGTTTTCCTCCCAAAAGGGCCCCAAAAAGTTTAAACGAAGACCCCGAACCCCCCCCCCTTTTCACCCCGAAATGGTTTGCGCCCCCATTGGGCGGTTTTCCCTTTCGGGGGGTTCAGGGGTGGGGGGGGTCCCAGGGGCAAAAAGGGGGGGAAAACCGCCTTACGCGCCCCCCCCCTTTTCCCGGGGCCAAAAAAAAAGTTGGGGCCCGGCCCGAGCAAAAATTTGGGGTGCCCCGAGGCAGAGTTTGGTTCCTTCCTTCCCCGCCTTTCCTTTTCCCCCTTCCTTTCCTTCCTTCTTCCCCCCCAAATTTGCCCTTTCCCCCCTTTTCCTTTTCCCTTTCCCTTTCCTCCTTCTTTCTTCCCCCCCCTTCCCCCCCCAAAACCCCCAACCCCTTTTTTTCCCCCCCTTTTGCCCCCCCCCCCACCCCCCTTTTTTCCCCCCCCCCCCCCCCTTAAAACCCCTTCCCCCCCCCCCCCCCCCCCAAAAAATTTTTTTTTTCCCCCCCCAAAACCCCCCTCCCCTTTTCCCCCCCACCCCCCCCCCCCCTTTACACCCCCCCTTCCCCCTTTTCCCCCCCCCCAAAAAAAAAATTTTTTTTTTTTTTAAAAAACCCCCCCCCTTTTTCCCCCCCCCCCCCCCCTTTTTTTAAACCCCCCAAAAAAAAAAAAGGGGGGGGGAAAAAAACCCCCCGGTTTTTCCCCCCCCCCATTAGTTTTTTTCCCCCCCCCCCCCCCATTTTTTTTTTTTTTTTTTCCCCCCCAAAAAATTTTTTTTGAAAAAAAACCCCCTTTTTTTAAAAAAAAATTTTTTTTTTTTTCCCCCCTTTTTTTTTTTTCCCCCCCCCCCTTTTTTTTGGGGGGGCCCCCCCTTTTTTTTTTTTCCCCCCCCCATTTTTTTTTTGTTTTTTTTCCCCCCCCCCTTTTTTTTTTTTACACCCCCCCCCCCCAACCCCTTTTTTTTTTCCCCCCCCAAAAACCCCCCCCCCCGGCCCCCCCCCCCATTTTTTTTTCCCCCCCCCCAAGGGGGGGTTTTTTTTCCCCCCCCCAAAAATTTTTTTTTCCCCCCCCGGGGACCCCCCCCCCCTTTTTTTTTTTTTCCCCCCCCCTTTTCCGCCCCCCCCCCCTTCCTTCCTCCTTTCCCTTTTCCCTTTTCCTTCTTCCTTCTTTCCCTTCCCTTTCCCTTTCCTTCCCCCCTTTCCCTTCCTTTTCCCCCCCTTTTCCCTTTCCTCCCCCTTTTTCCCCTTCCTTCCTTCCTTGCCCCCTTTCCTTTCCTTTTCCTTCCTTCCTCTCCTTTCCTTTTTTTCCTTTTCCTTCCTCCTCCTTTTTCCTTTCCCTTTCCCTTTCCCTTTTCCCCTTCCTTTTTTCCTTTTTTCCCCCCCTTTTTTTTTTTTTTCCCCTTCCTTCCCTTCCCTTCCTTCCTTCCTTCCTTCCCTTTCCTTCCCCTTCCTTTCCCTTTCCCCTCCCTTTTTTAAAAAAAAAATTAAAGAAAAAAAGTGAAAAATAAAAACGTAATTCCCTTGAGGCCCCAAGACTTGAACCCCCGATGAGGGGATCAGACGGACAGGAGGGCGGGTGCAAAAACCCCCCAAAACGGGTCAGGGGGGGGGCCCCCAGGAAAACCCGGCGGGTTCTGGTTCTGGGGGTGGGCACTTAATGAGGGAGGGGGGAGGGGGGCCCGGGCCGAGGGCATTTTGGGGGCCCCGGCCAGGGGGCAGAGGCCCTGGGGCGGGCGAGGGCCCCCGCCCCGGGGACAGAGCGAAGCGGAGGAGGGGTTTGGAGGAGCGGCACAAACGTGCCCGGGGGGGGGGCCCCCCCTACCAGCCCCCGCCCCCCTCACGCGGGTCTTTCCCCGACGCTTAAAGGGACGCCTCCAGGGGACGCACCTGGGGGGAAGCAGTCGAACTTGGGGGGCTGGGGCCACAGGAGGAGCCAGTTTCTTCACTGGGGGGAACGGGCAGAGGCAGAGGTCCCCAGGCGAGCCAGGACCGCATCAAAAAGGAGGGCGGGTTACCGGCCTCTCACTCCCGTCCTTCTTATCGTCCGACAGCCCCTGATCTTGGGCATGGGCCCCCCTACCCGCGGGGGGAGTGATCTGCAGGGGACATCAAGATAGGGACACCCGGAGGGAGATCAGAGATAGGGGCTCAGAGATGGGGGAAAACAAGATAGGACACCAGAAGAGGGGCCCAGAGAGAGGAACTCAAGAAGGGCAGCCGGGTAGGGGAACCAGAGATGAGACATCAGAGATGAGGGCATCGAGATGAGGGGCATCAGAGATGAGGACGTCAAGATGAGGAGCCCCGAGTTTGGGGGGGTCAGAGATAGAGCACCCGATGGGGGGGCAGCCCAAAATGAGGGGCACAAGAGAGGAGCAATCAGAGATGAGGCACAAATAGGACAGCAGAGGGAGCAGCGAGTAGGACATCAAAGAGGGGCAGTCAGAGATGGGAACAGTCAGAGATGAGGGGCGTCAGATGAGGAGCAGCCAGAGAGAGGAGCCGTAGAATGAGGGGCAGCAGAGTGAGGGGCCCGGGGATGAGGACATCAAGATGGGGGCGTCAGAGATGAGAGCACCAGAATGGGGGCATCAGAAGAGGAGCTCAGAATGGGAGACCAAAATAGAACAGTCAAGATGAGGGGCACCGAGATGAGGGGGCAACCAAAATGAGGGGCGTCAAAGAGGGGCACCCCGGGGTGAGGACATCAAAGGGGGACAGCCGGAATGAGGAGCAGCCGGGATGAGGGCACCAAATAGGGGAGTAGAGATAGGAGCAGCCGAATGGGGGGCAGTCAAGATGAGGACATCAAAAGATAGGGGGCACCCGGGGAAAAGAGCAGTCAGAGATGGGAAGCAGAGTGAGGGCACCGGAGAGAGAGCAGCAAGATAGGACAGTCAGGATGAGGGGCATCAGAATGAGGGGCAGTCAAGTGGGAGCACAGGTAGGGGCACAAGATAGGGGCAGTCAGAGGAGGACACCCGGGGATGGGAGCATCAAATGAGGACAGTAGAGATGAGGAGCACCAGAATGGGACATCCCGAGATGAGGGGCACCGGGGATGGGACAGTCAAATGAGGAGCATCAAGGGAAAAACAGTCAAAATGAGGACATCAGAGATAGGGGGCGTAGAATGAGGACACCAAATAGGGGGCATCAAGATGAGGACAGCCGAGAGAGGGGGCAGCAGGATGAGGGGGCAGCCAGAGATGAGGACGTCAAGATGGGGGGGAGCAAGATGAGGGGAAGCCGGAATGAGGGGGCAGTCAGAGATGAGGGGCAGTCAGAAAGGGGCAGCCAATGAGGACACAAGATGAGGACAGGGGAATAGGGGGGGATCAATAGGCAGTCGAGATGAGGAGCAGTCAGAGTGAGGGCATCAGAGATGAGGAGCACCAATAAGCATCAGAGATGAGGAGCAGCCAAAATAGACATCAAATAGGAGACCCAATGAGGGCACCGGAGATGAGGGGCATCAAAAATGGGAGCAGTCAAGATGAGGACAGCCAGAGATGGGGGCATCAGAAAAGGAGCGCCAAGATGGGACACCAGAATGAGGACATCAAATAGGGGCATCAGAGATGAGGAGCAGCCAAGATGGGGCGCAAGATAGGCAGTCAAATAGAGCACCCAAAATGAGGCATCAGAGATAGGGCCCGAGATGAGGACAGTCAGAGAAGAGAGCAGCGAGTGAGGAGCAGTCGAGATGAGGACACCGGGGAAAGAGGGGCAGTCAGAATGGGGGCAGCCAAGATGAGGGGCGCCCAGAAAGAGGGCACCGGAGATAGGAGGCACCGGGATGAAAACATAGAGATGAACATCAGAGATGAGGGGCACCAAGATGAGGAGCATCAAGTGAGGCACCCAAATGAACAACCAAGATAGGAGCATCAGAATGAGGACAGTCAGAGATGAGGAGCACCAAATAAAGCATCAGAGTGAGGGGGCAGCCAGGGGTAGGGGCAGTCAAGATGGGGACGCCAGAGATGAGGAGCATCAGGATGAGGAGCAGTCAAGATGAGGAGCGCCGAGATAGGGGGGGACCGGAATGAGGAGCACCAAGATAAAGGGGCAGCCGGAGATGAGGACAGTCAAGATAGGGCATCAGAGATGGGGCACCAAAAGAGAACACCCCGGGGAATGAGGAGCATCAAATGAGGGGCATCAAAAGGAGCAGCCAAGTGAGGACATCAAGGAAGCAGCCAGAAGGGACAGCCCGAGATGAGACAGTCAAATGAGGGGCTCAAATGAGGACAGCCGAATGAGGGGGCAGCCGGGGAAAGAGGACTTTTAGAAGAAGGAGCACAAGGTAGGAGCAGCCCCGAGATGAGAGCAGCCGGAGATGAGGGCAACAGAGATGAGGAGCATCAAGATGAGGGGCACCAGAATGGGACAGTCAGAAGAGGGGGCACCAGAGATGAGGAGCAGCCCCAAAAGAGGAAAAGTCGGGGAAAGAGGACACCGGAGATAGGGCACGGGGGAAAGAGACACCGGGGATAGGACAGTCGGGGGAGGAGTAGTACCTCACGAGGGGACGCCTGGAAGGCCTGGATAAGTCCTCCCCATCCCCGCTCCCGCACTGGCCCGTCCCTCCCGAAGACACACAGCTTGGAAAAGGGGGCACAGGGGAACGCGGTTCTGGTTCCGGTTCTGACCTGCGGACTTGCTGCTGAAGGCCGAGGTGGTGCGTCTGAACGAGCCCATGCTCACCGCCTTCCTGCTGGACAGGGACGCTGCTTTGGACGAGGACCGTCCGCCGTCCACCGACTCATCGTCCTCAAAGGTTTTATCTGAAGGGGGGGAAAGAAAACGGGCCTGACCCGGGGCGCCCCCCCCCAGAACGCTTTGAGACGGAACGATCGGCCACTCGGAGGGTTTTGATGCGCAGAGGAATAACATCAGAGCTTCTGGTTTCATCAGGAGACATACAGGCTCCGCCCCCTCCCCCCCACAGAGCTGCAGTCAGACCTGAAACAGATCCAGGCTCTCCATTATTCAGAACGTCTGTCCCACAGCCAGCCAGCAGGGAACCAGAACCCCAACAGAACCCAACCGACCCAGGAAGTCATTCTGACTCACTGTCTACTGACTGAAATACCAGAGCGGAAAATTAGTGTTAGGGCCAGGCAAGAGATTAGTTTCTTTTATTTCGATAATAAAGTCGTACAATTAGGAGAATAAAGTCGTAAAATTAGGAGAATAAAGTCGTACAATTAGGAGAATAAAGTCGTACAATTAGGAGAATAAAGTCGTACAATTAAATTAGGAGAATAAAGTCGTACAATTAGGAGAATAAAGTCGTAAAATTAGGAGAATAAAGTCGTAAAATTAGGAGACTAAAGTCGTACAATTAGGAGAATACAGTGGTAAAATTAGGAGAATAAAGTCGTAAAATTAGGAGAATAAAGTCGTAAAATTAGGAGAATAAAGTCGTACAATTATGAGAGATAAAGTCGTAAAATTAGGAGAATAAAGTCGTAAAATTAGGAGAATAAAGTCGTACAATTATGAGAGATAAAGTCGTAAAATTAGGAGAATAAAGTCATACAATTAGGAGAATAAAGTCCTAAAATTAGGAGAATAAAGTCGCAACGACAATAGTCATAAAATTAGGAGATTAAAGTCGCAATGAGAATAGCCATAAAATTACGAGAATAAAGTCGTAAAATTAGGAGAATAAAGTCGCAACGACAATAGTTATCAAATTAGGAGAATAAAGTCACAACGACAATAGTCATAAAATTAGGAGAATAAAGTCGTAAAATTAGGAGAATAAAGTCGTAAAATTAGGAGAATAAAGTCGCAACGACAATAGTCATAAAATTAGGAAAATAAAGTCGTAAAATTAGGAGAATAAAGTCGTAAAATTAGGAGAATAAAGTCGTAAAATTACGAGAATAAAGTCGTAAAATTACGAGAATAAAGTCGCAACGACAATAGTTATAAAATTAGGAGAATAAAGTCACAACGACAATAGTCATAAAATTAGGAGAATAAAGTCGTAAAATTACGAGAATAAAGTCGTAAAATTACGAGAATAAAGTCGTACAATTATGAGAATAAAGTTGTAAAATTAGGAGAATAAAGTCGTAAAATTAGGAGAATAAAGTCGTACAATTAGGAGAATAAAGTTGCAACGACAATAGTCATAAAATTAGGAGATTAAAGTCGCAATGAGAATAGCCATAAACTTACGAGAATAAAGTCGTAAAATTAGGAGAATAAAGTCGCAACGACAATAGTTATAAAATTAGGAGAATAAAGTCACAACGACAATAGTCATAAAATTAGGAGAATAAAGTAGTAAAATTAGGAGAATAAAGTCGTAAAATTAGGAGAATAAAGTCGTAAAATTACGAGAATAAAGTCGCAACGACAATAGTTATAAAATTAGGAGAATAAAGTCACAACGACAATAGTCATAAAATTAGGAGAATAAAGTCGTAAAATTAGGAGAATAAAGTCGTAAAATTACGAGAATAAAGTCGTACAATTATGAGAATAAAGTTGTAAAATTAGGAGAATAAAGTCGTAAAATTAGGAGAATAAAGTCGTACAATTAGGAGAATAAAGTTGCAACGACAATAGTTATAAAATTAGGAGAATAAAGTCACAACGACAATAGTCATAAAATTAGGAGATTAAAGTCGCAATGAGAATAGCCATAAACTTACGAGAATAAAGTCGTAAAATTAGGAGAATAAAGTCGCAACGACAATAGTTATAAAATTAGGAGAATAAAGTCACAACGACAATAGTCATAAAATTAGGAGAATAAAGTCGTAAAATTAGGAGAATAAAGTCGTAAAATTACGAGAATAAAGTCGTACAATTATGAGAATAAAGTCGTAAAATTAGGAGAATAAAGTCGTAAAATGAGGAGAATAAAGTCGTACAATTAGGAGAATAAAGTCGCAACGACAATTGTCATAAAATTAGGAGATTAAAGTCGCAATGAGAATAGCCATAAAATTACGAGAATAAAGTCGTAAAATTAGGAGAATAAAGTCGCAACGACAATAGTCATAAAATTAGGAGAATAAAGTCGTAAAATTAGGAGAATAAAGTCGTAAAATTAGGAGAATAAAGTCGCAACGACAATAGTTATAAAATTAGGAGAATAAAGTCGTAAAAATTAGGAGAATAAAGTCGTAAAATTACGAGAATAAAGTCGTAAAATTAGGAGAATAAAGTCGCAACGACAATAGTTATAAAATTAGGAGAATAAAGTCACAACGACAATAGTCATAAAATTAGGAGAATAAAGTCATAAAATTAGGAGAATAAAGTCGTAAAATTAGGAGAATGAAGTCGCAACGACAATAGTCATAAAATTAGGAGAATAAAGTCGCAACGACAATAGTCATAAAATTAGGAGAATAAAGTCGTAAAAATAGGAGAATAAAGTCGTGAAAATTAGGAGAATAAAGTCGCAACGACAATAGTCATAAAATTAGTAGAATAAAGTCGTAAAACTACGAGAATGAAGTTTTAAAATTATGAATAAATTATAAATACATTTCAGGATATGAGATTTATTTGTTGTTAGTTTGTTTAACAAGAGTGAAAAGAAGATTATTTATTTTTACAGATGATGAAGAACTACTGAAACCATTTTCAGATACACGTCACAATCTGCAGCCGTTCTATGGGTCGATAACCGCTAATAACGATCACGCATATATTAAGGCTTTGCTGAGCTGAACAGCGGTCCTGCTCAGGGACTCAGAGGTTCTGTTCCATGGAACAGAACCTCTAGATTTAGAGTGAACCCAGACTTCCTGTTTGCAGGACGGGTGACTTATTGAAGCTAGAAGCTGCTTCTACTGAAATGAATCTAAAGGATCCACAGCAGCCGGATAAAAACTGATCTGCTGTGTCAGCGGCAGCCTGGATCCACGGACCGGATCAGCAGAACCAACTCCCTCCTCTCTAGGTTACACAAAATATTAGCAGGAAGTAAACAGGAAGTGCTTTTATTTTGAAGAACAGCTGCTCTTTCTATCCCTGCGGCCGACTGAATCATCCTGATCATCTGAGCTGGTTCTGATCCGTCTTTGGGACCCGGAGAAGGTTCTGGAGTCAGTGAGGTGGATCCTGCAGCCAATAATGACGAAGAGCTTAAGACTTCATCACACCAGACAGGATCGGAAACACAACTCAGAACCAGAACCCAGAATATGACACACCATTAAACCTGTAACAAACCCATGACCCAGAAACCAGAACCAGAACCAGAACATGAACACCATTAAAACCTTACACACCCTGACCGAAGATCCAGAACCTGGACCAGAACATTGATCACCATTAAACCTGTACACCCTTGACCAGGACAACCAAGAACCAGAACCAGAACATGCCACCCATTAAACCTGTACACCCTGACCGGAACCAGAATCCAACAACACCAAACCGAGAAATATTGACAACCATTAAACAACCTGTTTTAAACAAAAAACCCAAACCCACAGATCCAGTAACACAGAACCAGAACCAGAACAATGACACCCATATTATAAACCTGTAACACCCTGACCAGGAACCAGAGACCATAACCCAACCATGCACCCACCATTAAACCTGTACACCCCTGACCAGAACCAAAACCAGCAACCTAGAAACATACACCCTTAAACCCGTACACCCTAGACCAGAACAAACCAGAAAACCCAAGAATATGACACCATTAAACCGTTACAAAACAAAAAAAATACAACCCCTGACCAGAAAAACCAGAAACCAGCACTCAGAACATGACACCATTAAACTGTACAAAATACTTACACCCTGACCAGAACCAAGAACTCTAGAACTCAGAACACTGGAGACGTGACGCCATTAAAGCTCGTACACCCTGACCAGAAACCCTACGAACCAGAACCTAGAGAGCATGACACCATTAAAAACACTGACCACACCGGACCCGAACCAGAACCAAGAACCAACACATGACACCATTAAACCTGTACACACCTAGAACCCAGAAAACACAGAACCAAACAATGACAAACCATTAAAGCTCTAACACCCTACCCAAACCAAAACCGAGAACGCTGGAGCATAGAACAACCAATTAAACCTGTACACCCTGACACAGCACAACCAGAACCAGAACCAAACAGGACCACATAACCCTGTCTACAACCCTGACAGAAACCAGAACCAGAACCAAGAACATGCGACACCATATAAACCTGTACATACTAACCGTCGACCCAAAACCTGAACCAGAACCAGAACATGACAAAACAAACCCATTAAACCTGTACAAAAACACACCAACTCACCCGAAAACCAGAAACCAACCAGAAACTATGACACCATTAAACCTGTACATAACCCTGACCAGAACCAAACCAGAACCAGAAATATGACACCACTTAAACTGTAGCACCAAAACCACTGACCAGAACTCAGAACCAGACACCAAACATGACACCCATTAAAACAACACCTGTACACCCTGACCAGAACCAGAAACCAGACAAACCAGAACAATGACACCATTAAACCTGTACACACACCCTGAACCAGAACAACCAGACACCAGAATATGACACCATTAAACCTGTACACCCTGACCAGTAACCAGAACCAGAACCAAGAACATCGACACCATTAAACCTGTACACCCTGACCAGAACCCTAACCTAGACAACCAGAATATGACCACCATTAAACCTGTACACACCCTGACCAGAAACCAGAAACCAAAAATGACACCATTAATTAACCTGTAACAACCCTGACCAGAACCAGAACAGAATCACAGATACAGACACCTATT